CTTTAGAAGAGGTGTAATTGGGGAAATCGGTACCTCATTGAAAAGATTAATGGTAGTGAATTAAAAAGAATGATGTAATCAATGACGTAAAAGCAGAAGATGAAGAGGAGTTATAACTCTTTACTACAGTCCTTTATCCTGTAACTTTTTTTTTTTTTTATCCTTTATCCTGTAACTTTTTTTTTTGTGTGGTTTTGAGCTTACCAATGATCAGATGAGTCCATGAGAGCTGGCACCAGCACTGCAAAAAGACCAAATCCTAGCAGTAGTTAGCCTATGCTGGAGAGCATTTAGCTAGAGAGCAGAGAAACTTTTAAAAGCATTGATAGGAAGGTAAATGTGAACATCTGTGAGCATTTAAGTATACTTTTTTGCTGAATAGACCAAGAGAATGCATTTGTGTTTTCATGTGCTGACAATGTATTGATTTCTGATTTCGTTTTCTCTCTGCCTGATGATACTCATAAGGATCTTACTCTGTATGAAGAGGTTGGTAATTCTGCAAGTGTTAGCTTAGTATATTTTTTTGAAGTAGCTTGCCATATGTCCAGTGATGTGGAAGAATATGATAAATTCCTATGGGAATGGTTACATTCTCAGTTACATCTTGAGAGTTTAAGCTGTTCAGAACTTACAGTAAGGCAACAAAAAAATACAGGTCTCTAGAAAGTATTTTCCAAATGTAGTAAACTTGAAGACTGATTCAAACTTTCTTCTGCAGCTGGGCAGGTGGAAGGAAAAGGACAAATGTTAACTTGAGAACACCTGTTTTGATCTTGGTTATTGCTATGCCAGCTGGAGAGACTGAGTGTGGTTTGTTTAATAGCACAGGATAGAAATATTTTTATAAGGAGAAAATGCAGCCCTAAGAAGATGGTGGAGTGTATTACCTGAATCTTTTTCCTGCAGAGTCCTGAGGGTGGCTGTAGCAGTGGTGTGTGCTGTGCTCTGAAAAAACACTTAGAAGCAGGGGGACTTTGACATGCTTGGATGTGCTTTGAGTGCTGCATTTCTGCCTGCGTAACCTTAGTATTACTAGGGTTCAGCATTGGTATGAGATGTATATGCATATGAAAATAATGTCAGAGGACATTAGAGGTATCGTAGAGCTTTTTTTTTTTTCTTAGTCTTTTTAAGTTGCCTTCTTCATCCAGCTTGTGATCCCCTGTAAGCTGCCACTTCTGCCCAGATATTCTTTTTTGCCTTGTCTGATGTTATGCATGCTTTTTAGGATTTGTCTTAATACAGCAGTACTTTGAAAGATGTGCTGATTTTTATGAGGTGTAGGTTACATGGGTGAAACCACAATTTATTAAAATTTAATTTAATTTTTTTTAAATTAACTGCTGCATCTGGATTAAACTTCATTCAGCATGAGAAGTATCTGGTGTTGGTAACTCTGATTAAGTTTCGTGTGGTAGCATCCAGGTGTGTGCAAATTATTTAATCTCTTGGGGATTTACAACATTGTAAATGCTGGAAGAGATGATCTGGACTGTGCTGTGCCTGTCTTAAAAGATCCCTCGGTAGCTGCCATAATGCTTTTCCAAGATAAATTAAACCTTGAGTAGAGGGTTACTAATAGTATTCTAGGGATGCTTACTGCAAATGCAGGGGTAGTTGGGAGAAACAAAACCCCAAAACCTTAGTTTATTGAGCTAATACTCTCTGTATAAGCTGCTACCTTTAAGCAGTATGAAGTAATTTTTTTCTTCACCAAGCAATTCAACATGTTCGGTAAAAACCTACCTTAGGCTATTGTTAGTTAGGTTCTGCTAGTGATTTACAGATTTTCCAAAAGACCTTTCTTTTATAATCCTGTAGAATGCATCATGCTTATAGGAACGCTTGTGCTTTCATTAACATGAGTTGTAGAAACTGGAGAATCTGTTAATTATTTTTCTGTTTGAAGACAAAGATTTGTTGAACCATATCCATGAACAAAAGCAGCCAGTGTATCTCGGAAACAGGCATCTTTCTTACTTTTGTATAAGTGTGTAAATTTTTTTGCAAAACTGTCAGGTCTATTGTATGCTTGAAACATGCTATGTAGCTTGAAACAAAGATCAGCTTTGTAATTTGGGGTAGTAGCTGAATTTTCAAAGTCCTAGGTAATTGAGGGATATTTTTTTCCAGTGTACATGTATTTTTTTGTTCATTTAAGGAAAACTGATACACTCGCAGATATATTCACGCTGACTCCTAGGAATAAGTGGCCTGTGGTGGTAAAGGTCTGAGTATGCCCAGGAGGTCATGAAGGCAGTCTAATTAATTTAGATCATCCTAAATCTTCAGTCCCTTTAGTCTGTAAACAAAACTGTAGTGAGTTGTAAGATCATTGTAGTTAGCCAGTCAGTGGATAGTCACGATCCTTTTTGGGGGAAAAACCCTCAAAGTTGAAGGAAAGGATGTCAGTCAGGTTTAAAACTATGCAGATTTTTCTGCAAATATTTACTTTAATTTGAGAAGGAATTAGGTGGCACAGCCCTTAGATGATGTTTTGATCGGTTCGATTAGCTGCTGACACAGATAAAGGGACTGAGTCATGAATCTTTCTAATCTGTTAAAATATGCATTTTGTACAAGAACAAAGAAGCTCTAATACTGTTGTTGATGTCTTTGAAATCTAGCATAAAAATGGGTCTTTTCAATTTTTTTGAAATTGCAGCTTTCATACAGTAGGCAAGGAGTAGAATAATTTGTCAGAGTAACTCCTGAACTTTCTTGTAACAGCTTTCACAAGATGTTATAAAGAAACAAATATTTAAAACATAGTAGATCAAGTATGGTAATGCATTTTTTACATCTTGGTTGTAAAATTTAAGATGCATTTGGCTTATATTAGATAATTTTGACACTTTAAATTGTTCAGCTGCTAAGGATGTCTTCAAGCTTCAATATCAACAGCTTAAAAAAAGAAGAAAAAAGAAAAAAAAAAAAGCAACCCCCCCCTGAAAAACAAACCCTCAAACTCAAATTATTACATAGGTTGTAGTAAAAGGGTCAGTCTTGCTTCTGAGGTGTCTGGGCTTATATGAGTTAGTTTCTTTATCTTAATTGAAATTCAGATTTATTTAGGAGTAGTGGCCTGAATACCTAGGTCTTTAATTGATGTGGTTTAACCCCATCTGACAACTAAGAACCACACAGCTGCTCGCTCACTCCCCTCCCACCCCTGGTGGGATGGGGGAGAGAATTGGAAGAGTAAAAGTGAGAAAATCTGTGGGTTGAGATAAAGACAGTTTAATAAGTAAAACAGAAGCCTCATACACAAGGAGAGCAAAACAAGGAATTAATTCCCTTCTTCCCATGCGCGGGCAGGTGTTCAGCCATCTCCAGGAAAGCAGGGCTCCATCACGCGTAAGGGTTACTTGGGAAGACAAAACACCATCAATCTGAACGTCCTCCCTTCCTTCTTCTTCCCCCAACTTTATATACTGAGCGTGATGTCCCATGGTATGGAATATCCCTTTGGACAGTTGGGGTCAGCTGTCCTGGCTGTGTGTCCTCCCAACTTCTTGTCCCCTCCCCTGGCCTGCTCACTCCTCCCGTGAGAAGCAGAAGAGGCCCCGGCTGTGCAAGCACCGCCCAGCAATAACTAAAACATCCTTGTGTTATTAACACTATTTCCAGCACAAGCCCAAAAGGTAGCCACATTCTGTCCCCCCCCAGCACCGCCCAGCAATAACTTCTTCTATGAAGAAAATTAACTCTACCCTGGCCCTCTATCCAGCATGTTAATCCAGGTGCATTTCCATTTAAAAAAAAAAAGCCCCAAACAAATAGCAAACAAGCCAACTGATTGTGTTGCCACAGAATATACTTCCTGTTTAGCCATCCTGTTCAAGGGTAGAGATGCTGTACACTTGCATTCAAAGGCTCATTATACTCTTCTTCTAACCAGAAACTTGATATTTCTCACTCAGACTTTATTTTTCTCTCCATCTTCCCCATCAAAGCTGTGATAACAACATGGCTTAATATATGATACCAAATCACGAAAGCTTCATCCAAAAAACGAAGCACACATTTTGAAACACTAACAGTGAAAGTCTGATTTGGCATTGTTGGGAAAGCTCCCATTTCTGCCTTAACCTTTCAAACAAGCCTTTAAACATACTTGCTTGCAGTTTTGCAAAATGTTGAATAGTTAGCTGTTTATATTAGAGAAACTCGACATTCAGCACTTTAAAGGGCTTGCTCTTTACTACTTAATTTGCAGAACTTGGTAATTGGTAGTGTGTCTTGCCATCTGTAGGAAAAATAGTTAAATTTCCACAAAATATGTATGTATATTTATAAAAAAGCATATAGAAATGAATCTCGTAAGTCTAGACTCCATAGTTGAAATAATTTTTATTTAAAGTTTACTGCCTAATGTACCATATGTAGTTGAATGCACCCATATTTTTATCATTCTTTTGTGTAAATGCATTTGATTAAAATGTTATGCCTGCTTCAGAGACTTGCATTTTGGTTATTTTCAAGATGTCTGCAAAAGCTTACTCTGGCCACTTAAATGGAAGATAAAAATATGTTTTTTATGTTTTTCACATTCACTAGTATAATTCAAATTGTATTAATTCAAATATGTTTACAAACATCGCGTGGGTTTTTTTACACTAAAATTTGATTAAAATGTTAATATTAAATAAACATTATTTCTGCATAAATGTACATGGAGTAGAGAGAACATTGCTTATAATGTTTCTTAATATAAAGTCTGTGGTCTACCTTGTAAGTAAGAAAATGTGGAAGTGGGGATTCTGTGTATGGAGAATCTGGATTTTGTGAAGATGTCTGGCTCAACTTGTAGAGACATTGTTATATTTCATGCTCCAATTGTAATTTAGAGAGAAAGAAAACAGTGATAACTTATGTCTAAAATCAAGATCATATTTTTATTTCTATGGGCAGTTTTGAAATTTTGCTCAACCAGTAATTTGTAAAGGAAGACAGACATTTTGACAAATACTTTTTTTTTTTTGTTCCTTACACAGACAAAAGAAGTTGGTTTACTTGATGCAGACATATACGGACCTTCAATTCCAAAGATGATGAACTTAAAAGGAAACCCAGAATTAACACCAAGTAAGTGGAAGTGGTTTTTCTTGCTGTCTTCTTTGTACAGGGTTGAGCACGGGCCACTCATTGGTGCTTCCTTGGTGTGGCACAGAAGGGATGCACACAGAAGATGAAGACAGTGTATTTTTTTTATTTTGTATTTTTAGTAATGACGTTGCTTTCAAAGCTAGCTTGAACAACTAGGAGCATAGTCAGGGTCGTCTTTTTTTGTTTGTTTTATGTAGTCCACAGGCTTTGGGAGTTTCATGGATTAATACTAGAAACGCTGGAAAGGGTAGCTGGGAAAGGAAGGTTATTGTCAGTAGTTTTAAACTTGCTCCCGCAAACAGGATCCCGCTATAGAAGTCCTCCAAATTAAAAAACAAAGAACACTAGACTAGGGGAAAAAAAAAAAAGACTAATCTAGGAAATAAGAGAAGGATTGTTACAGCAGCTTGTATAAAATGTTGTTGAAATTATTGTGTTTGATCTCTTTCTTCAGCCAAACAGACTAGGCCACTTGATTAATTTTTATTTGAAGTTGTGTGTTTAGGAACGCAGTGGTGGTGACTTCACTACCAGAAGGTAAAGATAGTAGCCAAAAACCCCTCATTTTCCTTCTGCTAGGAAGGATTCTGGTCTGGGGAAAAGTAAATTCAGGTAGGAGAGTCTGGAGAGAAATAAGGAAGACCTGAAGTAGAAAGGTTGCATCAAGTCTGTTTACCATGCAGAAATTTACCTTCCATCCAGACCAACTGAGGGTGAAACTGAATGTAATGTTCATGTGATGCTTGAGTGTGCTTTTTTAGGGTGCTAGGGACACTGAGGTGATAGGATTTGTTTCATGCTTTGTTTTGCCCATCCTGTGATAAAATGCATGTAATTATGACAATTAAAAACAGGTAACCACAGACAAAACCAGTCCCACACTACAACACCTGGCCTACACATTGAAAAGTACTAGGATCCTATTGAAGAAAGTAAAAACTGGCAATACTTGTTGAGAGGGAGGGATCAAGGACATGTACCAGTTCAAACAGGACATGAAAGGGCTTCAGTAAAATAATCAACTGTAAATGCCCATTAATGTTTGTTGGCAGTAATTGCTAGGTAAAAGGGAAGTTAAATATTCCTTCTACTTTTGTGCCATGATCTTTGTTTATTTATTCTGCTATTGTTGTAAAATATCCATTTGTTAACTGATCTTAATTTGTGCACGTGTATGGTTGTTGCAGTCTCACTTGGTATAAAGCATGCAGAATGAAACAGTGCCAGTATCTTTAAAGGGTGGTTATTGAGCTTGCAACGTTAGGCTCTGAAAAAATAATAAGTGGCAAACTTAGGATTTCTTATATAATTAAAATTCTGTCTCCTATGCTTATACCCTGTACACTGGATAAAGAAAAAGTAATGTATTTCCATATACAGATGCACTGCATGTGCTTATAAAGGCAACTGTCAAATTGAGTACTTTCTACATTTAAGTATCTGGCCTACAACTACAGGCTTTATTTACATTAATTTCTAGAGAGAAGGAGAGTGCTTGGTTTTACTTGCCATCGAGAGGGACCTGGACAGGCTTGAGAGGTGAGCCTGTGCAAACCTCATGAAGTTCAACAGGGCCAAGTGCAGGGTCCTGCACATCGGCCAGCGCAATCCCAAGCACAGATACGGGCTGGACAAGGAATGGATTGAGAGCAGCCCTGAGGAGAAGGACTTGGGGGTGTTAGTTGATGTGAAAAATCAACATGAGCCGGCAACGTGCACTCAGAGCCCAGAAGGCCAGCCATATCCTGGGCTGCATCAAGAGGGAGGTGATTCTGCCCCTCTGCTCCATTCTTGTGAGACTACACCTGGAATATTGCATCCGGCTGTGGAGCCCTCAAAATAAGGACATGGACCTGTTGGAGCTGGTCCAGATGAGGGCCACGAGGATGATCAGAGGGCTTGAGGACCTCTCCTATGAGAAGCTGAGAGTTGGTGTTGTTCATCCTGGAGAAGAGTAGGCTTCAGGGAGGCCTTATAGCAATTTTCCAGTGTCTGAAGGGGGCCTCAAGAAAGCTGGAGAGGGACTTTTTACAAGGGTGTGTAGTCATAGGATGAGGGGTAATGGCTTCAAACTGGAAGAGGGTTGATTAGAATAGATACTAGGAAGAAATTCTTTACTCTGAGGGTGGTGAGGCACTGGAACAGGTCGCCCAGAGAAGCTGTGGATGCCCCATCTCTGGAGGTGTTCAAGGCCAGGCTGGATGGGGCTTTGAGCAACCTGGTCTAGTGGGAGGTAGTGCTGCCCATGGCAGGGAGGTCAAACTAGATGATCTTCGAGGTTCCTTCCAACTATAACCATTCTATGATTTGTTGGGTTTGTGGGGTTTTTTTTTGAAGTCAAAGGCTAATTCTGTTGTGTAATAAATAAGTGAATAACTGAATCCTCTCATGTATCATCAGCACAGTTTGACGTCCTGATACAAATTAAAATATTCTGGCATTCTCTTGTACTTTGGAACCCATTGAAAGTATATGTCATACAGGCTGTGCTTTCCCATGACAGATTTTTTTTTTCTATGAATTTTTGCATTTGAAATGCATTACTCAATATGAACAGAAAAGGGACTACGTTGTGGTGGTGTTCATCTCTCTGCTCTTTTCCTTTTTATGTGACACGGACTTTTTCCTTTCCAATGGTGATCAGGTAAAAATTTGATTCTCCGTGTTTCTTTTTTCTCACTGCCTGAAAAATTGATTAGGTAACTGTGAACTTATTATACGTTTTGCTCTGTATTTTGTCAATCTGTATCAAATGTAAATCCATATCATGAGCCACAAATAAGAAGCAAATTGCCCAGATGGTCATGAAAATGAACTTGCTAGTGTCATGGTTAGGCCAAGCAACAGATGCTCCCCCCAGCCTCTCCTCAAAGAGAGAGGCAGAGGAGGGAGACTTATGAGTTTAGAAGGAACTAAACTACTTTAATGAAATATTAATAATAAAATAAAAAGAGAATAATGAAATATACAAAACTGTATGAAGCTCCCAGGATGACAACCACGTCACCGGCTGGCCCTTTGGAAGTCCCAGACTGGACTTAGTGATGGACGGGAACTGGACTCCTGATCTGGATTCGGGATCGGGATCAAAGGCAGACAAACAGTCTCCTGCTCAGACGTCGGCCATTAAAGAAAGAGAGCTGACCCTTTGATCCCTCAGCTTTTATACTGAGCATGAGGCCGATGGGATGGAATACCCCGTTGGTCAGTTTTGGGTCACCTGTCCTGTCCGCTCCTCCCTGCAGGTGGGACCCCTCTACGCTTTTCCACTTCCAACCCGCCAACGGGGCAAATAACCAAGTGAGCCGCCCTTGGCTGTTATGGCAGGAAGCATGAGCAGGAGCCTCTCTGCATACCATGCCTGGGCATCAGCTATAAACACAGGTCTCATCACTCTGAGAGCGAACAGTGTCTGCACAATATGCTGTTAATTTCAGTAGTTGGGAGAGGCCCAGCTAAGAAGCAAAGTTACTGAACGAAATTGGGCCTGTTTTACCTCAAACCAGGGCAGCTAGGAATGCCAGAACTTAGGAGTGTATGCAGTCAGATATTAGGGCAGCTCAATTTTGTTTGTATATAAATTTCAGTGACTGTAGATATCTTTGGTATACAGCTGAGAATGCACTATAAACTTTTGTCTTAACACGCTTTGAATGTTGTTAAAAATACGGAATTCGACGTAATAGAAAAAAATTGGAGGATTTCCCTGAACTGAAATTGCTGCTGTGAACTTATAAGCACTAATATTTTGATCGCTGAAATGTATTCTTTTTACTTTTGTGTGGAATGTACAAGCAAATATCATCAGGACTTAAGAACATACCTTATTTTTTAACTGACAGAAAAAGAATTTGCATATTTCAAAAGCTTGGCACATTACACCAGTCTACTGAGAAACTCATGTAGTAATTCAGTATGAATGATAACAGGATAGAATTTGTATTTCAGGAGTTCTGTTCACTTCTCTGTGCGCTTTTAATTCTTGAGTTGATGAAACTGTAGAATAACAACAATGAAAGTGTTGGCAAAGTAGCTGACATTAAGATGATTTCATAATGAAAACAGGAATTTGTAGGACATAGGAAGCTGTAATTGTGAACTTCAAGGATTCCTTTAATGAGTGACAGATAGGATAAGCTTCCAAGGAAGTGATCCATCATAGGTGTATATATATATGGTATGTATATATAGGTGTATATGTACGTGTATGGATATAAAAATATGTATTATCCTTGGGTTTTGGTATAATGAGGTTTAGTGTTATTTTCTACATTTTCAAGAATAAAACATAAACTCTGAACAAATACTGTTTTGTACAGTAATTGAGCAAGCCCAGGCAGTTCTATGTTCAAGATCTGCATGAACAATGTATACCTAACTATAAGTCAATTAAAAATATTTTAATAGCATAGCAATCAAAAATTATGTTTAAAGTCTATTGCTGACTTCAGCGTGAGGCCTGGGTTTGAAAATTAATCTGTAGAGTAATCCTAGGAGGTTCTGAGCACTCTCTCAGACTTTGATTTCTATTTCTTTTCTCACATGTAGCAGTTGAAAAGGGATTAGGGATGCCTGGCACCATACAGAATAAATCCGTGCAGCAATTATTACTTCTGAATAGAAATTATTATAGTTGTGCTATAATTTAAGTTTTCAAAATGAATTAGGAGTTCTTAGTGAGTAGAGAGTCTGTATAAATGGAAGATGCTCCATTAATTCAATTTTGCAAACTGTAGTACATTGGAAAGTCTGCTAACATTTAAGAGGATGTCATTCAAAATACTGTAACTAAATGGTCAGGGAAATATTGGTTAATAAGTTCACAACTGAACTTAATTATCTAATGGAGGATTATCTAACTATGGAATAAATATTAACATCAGCTACAATATATACATGGGGCAAAGCTTTTAACACAAGTAATAAAAGCATTACTTCTATTCTTTCCCCAAATAATTTCCTTAAAAGCCATTTTCTGG